ATTATTATTATTATTATTATTATTATTATTATTATTATTATTATTATTATTATTAAAAAATACGAGGCACAACCAATCAGAATTATAAAAACATTGACTGCTATTGTATAACAGATACAAATTTTAACCAAGAATCTAAGTATCCGTTAAATCTTGGCGCAGTATGTATGCTATTTTTAATACTGCCAATTTTTGTAGCTCTGGTGGCGTTATTTCTGCAACTGCTTATAGCACTGTGTGAAATTCCTTGATATTGTCCCCAAAGCCCCAATGATGACAGGGACCACTGAAGCGTGTTTCATCCACAAGCAAGATGTTTCAATTGCCAAACTCCAGTATTTTGTTAGTTTTTCCAGTTCTTTATCATCAACTCTGGCATTCCCCGGAATTGCAATGTCAATGATCCAGACGCTTCTTCCTTCTATCACTACTATGTCTGGTGCTTCTTCCTTCTATCTCTACTATGTCTGGTGTGTTATGTTCAAGGGGTCTATCCGTTTGGATCTGTACCTTCTCAACCTGATGTTCCCATGGGGTTTTTGGAGGCTGGCAAGTTATATATATATATTTTTTGCATCATGACCAGGGCGCTAATTTTGCCATTCCGTCATGTCTGATTTTGTAATCTGTTTGTGCCGTCTTTCACGGATGAGGTGTGACACCGTTCCATCTTTTTTCTTGGCAAGCATTTGGTGTTGGCACGAATTCCTTGGATCTTAGCTTTCCATCGTGTTGGTTTGGAGTGCTTGTTTTTGTGCAGCAAAAACCATGATGATGATGCCTGAATATTAGAGGGTGGGAGTCCCTGAGCAAGCTAGCCATGAGGAGACCTGGGGAGGTGTAAACTTGAAACCTTTCTCTCCTCTTTCCTGCCCAGATCCTCACCCAGGAAGACTGGAACGTTGTGCTTTATAATGGGATGGCCTCCACCTCGTCCTGGGCAGCCCTCTACTTTGTGGCCCTGATGACCTTTGGCAATTACGTCCTCTTCAACCTCCTGGTGGCCATCTTGGTGGAAGGTTTCCAAGCGGAGGTAAGAGAGGAAACCCCGCCGAGCCACACACTCAGCCGTGTGGACGGGATGGCCTTCCGGCGCCCCATCCCGGTCGGCTCCGTTCCACTTCACAGGGGCTGGGTCCTCCAGCCACGATTCCTGCCAGCCTCCCCCAAGGAAAATCCCCGGTGCCGTTTGGGTTTTAAGTGAGACCGAGGCCCCATTTCTGTTCTCGGAAGGATAGTGATCTCACTGTCATATTTTATCAGGAAGCTTTTATGAAGTCATTAGCGTATGGAAATGATTTCGGAGCCCAAGCTAAACTCAGCCTACTTGAGTTAAGAGTAATGACTTAGAAGGAGACGTTAATCACATTGGGGGCGGTGTTATTTTATTTGCAAGAACAGGGCCATTTCAGAATGCTCAATCAACGCTGGCGGCGGAGAAATTCAAGTGCAGAATGAGAAACCGCTTTGCTCATCATCATACCGAGTCCTCAAGAGCTGGCTGCAGGAGATAGGGGGAGGGCGGGGAGCAAAGTTCAGTATCCTTCCTCACCTTAGCTTTTACTCCGTTTACAGATCCGTGCCGGGAATATCAAGGGAGCAAACGTCCCTGAAATGAATGGCACATGGAAGTTTAGATAGTTACTCCTTTTTGGTAATATCTCCCAGTCAGGAGGGCCAGCTCTGGTGGTGCCCCACATCTATAACTCCCAGAAATCCTGGCCAGCACAACTAGGGAGTTGCAGTCCAAGAACACCTGGCGACCTATAGGCTGGGGACCACGGCTGTAGACGAATGGCGGATGGGTCTTAAAATGGGGCTTTCCAAAGAAATGTGAGTTTGCAGCATCCTCCCTTTCAGTTGGACACTTCCCCGTTCATATTTCCTCTGCCTGTAAGATGAAGGTGTCCAGTATCTAAGCCCAGCTGAGTTATTTTGGTGCCACAAATGCATATTATGGGTGTCAACGTAGAAAAACCAATTAAATAACTCTTTTCTGACACCTGTGGAGGTCAGTCGGTTAAGGACGAAGCTGACCTTCGCCAGAGACCGCCTGCTATGAGGAGCGGTGCCATTAGAGGACTAATCACAGGAGTAGACTTTCTATAGGAGTGACTCTCCAGCAGAGTCAAGCCGGATGTCAAGGTGAACGCGCACCACCTATGATGAACCCGGCGTCCCCTCCAACGATGGGATTTTCCTCACAGATCCCTGCCAATTAATGTGTTCACTGCCAGCAGCCAACTGCCAAAGCATGTTAAGTGTAAGAGATGGAGGGGAGGAAAAACCTGTGCTACTATAGGCATTTTGCCCCTTGCAAGGAGCACCTCTTTCCAAAACACATGCAGCGTACGGTCCCGTTTGACCCTCAGGCCCGGAGTTTTTCAGCGGATTTCCCCACACCCTGCCCAGATGGTGTCAAAGGATGCCGTGGACGGGCACCAAGTTGTTTCATGAGCTCCCCTGCCACACACACACACACACCCCTCCTGATCCTCTGCTTTCTGCTACCTTTCCAGACAATAATTGGTGTCAGTGCGCTGACAGGATGGGTGGCGGTGTCGGCAGCTGCCGTTCGTTAGCGTGGGAACATTTTTACAGAAACCCTCAATTAGCGCTCCTTTGAAGAGAGGGGGTTCTGCTTGAGGAAACAATGTCTGTTTAACATGGACCAATTGAATTAAAAATGGCAGGGCCCGTGTGGATGAGGGGCGCCATTAAGTTTTGCTCACAGCAGAAGCTAATTGACTTAAACGGCTGTGGCAACGAGACACGCTCCTTGCCTTTATATGTTTGGGGGGGGGAGTGCTTCCATATAGTCATCAGCGGTGCTTTCTTCTGAATTGGCTTTATTCTGTTTTTCACTCTGCTGTTGAGTCGTCCCCCCCCCGGGTTTCCCGCATGCTACCTTAGGAGCGCCCCCGCCACCAGAGCTGCTTCCTGGTTACAACAATCTTGCATGTCCTGCGGTCGGTGTCATCCTCCAGGATCCAAATTGCCTCCTGGCTGGCCAGAGGTCTGGTCTAGTCCTGGAATTGGGGTGGACCTTCTCCAGTAAAACGTGGAGCAGTTGCCACACAAGGAGACTCCGCGGTCAGTCGTGACATCTGAGGAGTGCTGGGGGTGGCGTGCATTTTTTTGGTGTCAGGGCGTTGAGAAGTTCCTGTTTGGGGCCCATAACAACAAGCGTTTGGCATCAAGTCAGTTCCAACCGATGATCATCGTCATTGCCTTAGAACGGCAGAGGTGGATGGGACCCCGTGGGATCATCCAGTCCAGCCCCTGTCAAGGAGCCCCGGTGGGGGAATCGAACACCCAACCTCTGGCTCCATAGCAAGAGACCTCAACCCTTCGGCCATCCAGCAGTGGATCCTTCCCAGCCCCTCCTTCTGGTGATGCTCCGGGAACATCACCCAGCTGGCTCAAGGCTACCCAGGAGGGCTCTCCCCTAAGGAGGCTGAGAGGGGGGCATCAGTCTCTCAGTCCGTGACGCTGCAGCCGGCTGCTCTAACCCACCGAGATGGCCTCTCCGTATCCCCCGTGCAGCACAGTTTAGTGGAAGGCTGATCTGGGTCATTGTTTCGTTTGCATCCGTGGCCACGCCGCTTACAGCCTCTTTCTGGGTCCGCAGGACAACGAGCTAGCTGCTTCTCTTGAATCCAGACCTTAGGATGGCTGCTTTCTTCAGGCTACGATTTTAGACTTCTTTTAGAGTCTATGATTCGAAGGGTGGAGAACTTGGTTCAACCCAATAACTGGCTTCAGAATTATCCGGGCACTCAACCCAATCTGTAAAATAGGACCAGGATCTGGGATAAGCCCCTCTAAAGTTCGGATTAGAACCCGGAGCGGACTTGCATCCCCTCTCAGCATCACCGTTGGACACCTGGGCTGATGGCACCAGGCCAAAGCAACGCCGGGCTCGAGCGGAGAGGGAAGCAAGCTTAGAAACTCAGCTGGCCATGAACCCAGACCTTCCCTAGCACATCATCCTTCCATCTGCCAGAAAGGATGTCCCTTTAGAGCAAGCATCTAGGTCCAGGCAGGCATGTTGGGAGGATCCTATCCCGAAACCTCTTCTGGAGCAACCTCCAAAGGGGAGACGTCCAGGGTGGAAGCAGCGGCTGGGTGAGCCAGTCTTCGTTTAGGAAACTACCCCAGAATTTCTGGGAACAGAAAGGCCCTCCCCGTCACTCATGGCTTCCCTGCCGTGCCTTGACTGGCTCGGTTTTCTCTAATTCAAAGAAGAATAATGATAATAATAGTGTAGAACGTTCCCGTGGCAGCAGGTGGGGACAAGCTGGACTTTGATTCCCTCCATTCCTCTGCTCCCGGGCATTGTTCTTGCCAGCTTGGCATCGGTACATTTCTCTTTCTCTCTCTCTCTCTTTTGGGTTGTTTCGAATGGACGGTCCAGGCTAGGAAGCCGCTGGCTACTGGACTGGCCATGGCCAAGCCGCTTCCATTTGGGCACCCAGCGAGGAGCGAGGGGAGAAGTCTTAAAAGAGGGGTTCAGCCTCCCTCTGCCCCACTTGCTCTTAAAATGAAAGGTCACTGCTGGGGGAAAGGTGGCCTAGAAATTCAAGAAATGAATGCATGCATACAGAAATTGGACATGTTGAGCTCACTCAGAGCTTAGCAGTATCGTGTTTGTTTATCTAACCATCCATACTCTACTTCCTTTGACACCGTATGCTGCTTTTTTCAAAGCTGAGCATTCCTTCCTCCCTTCCTCAATTATTTCCTTCCTTCCTTCCTTCTTTCTTTCCTTCCTCAATTATTTCTTTCCTTCCTTCCAGCTGAGCATTCCTTCCTCCCTTCCTCAATTATTTCCTTCCTTCCTTCCTTCTTTCTTTCCTTCCTCAATTATTTCCTTCCTTCCTTCCTTCCTTCCTTCCTTCCTTCCTTCCTTCCTTCCTTCCAGGACATTCATTTCCCAAATTATTCTACAAACATTTAAAAAACCATTTAAAAACTCCCTCTGCCTGTTAACTCGCATGATATCCTCAGACAATGCCGGGAGCTGACCTTGGAGAGGATGCCAAGCGACTATTGGCAAATATTTATTCCTCTAATTCTTGTGAACCTAACTAGTACACAACTGGTGTCAGGAAGGCTGCATGAGAGCAAAGGCACTCCCCCCAGTTTGGAAAAGCAGCCACTGTGCCAGAAATACACATTTTGCTGCAATGAGATTGTTAACTGCTGATCCTTTGACCCTCCAGAAAATCTAAGCCACCAGAGCTGACGCCCGTCCCACTTCTGGGTCTAAATTTGGAAGCCACTGAGGTCCAGACTTTCAGGACAAGTGTCAGAGAATCAGGCCAGGTGCACTGTGAATGAAAGCGAGACTAATTTCCCCAGGGCTGCGGGAATGACGTTGCAATCTGCCATCAAGTCGCCTCCGGCTTACGGCAATCCTACGGATAAGTGAGCTCGCTGGATGGCTCTGTGAGTTGGGTATCTTGTTGTGGAGCCGAAAGATTGAGAGTTTGATTCCTCACTGTGGCTGCCAGGAGAAGAGCCAGCCTGGGTGGCCTTGGGCAAGCTGCACGCTGATCCCAGGACACCCCAGAAGAAGGGGAAGCCACTTCTGAGTCACCATCTTGTCAGAAATGAGGGTCACCATCTGTCAGAATTGACTTGATGGCATGTGATGATGATGATGATGATGATGATGATGATGATGATGATGATGATGATGATGATGATGATGATGATGATGAATGGGCGAGCTCCAGAAGCCCCTACCCTCAACAGCCCTACTTAGATTTCGTCCAGCTCAAAGCGATGGCTTCCTGTATGGAGTCACTCCATCTCCGACGGAGTCTCCCTCTTGTTCTGCTGCCTTCTGGAGGAGCTTAGATGGGCACTTCAGGATCACTAAGCCATTCCTCACGAGATGGACTGACTCCCCAAAGGGGGAAGCCACCGCTTTGAGCTCACAAGAGCTGAGCGACGTGGCTGAGAAGGAAGGGCCACTCATCCACAGGGTTGCCATCCGTCGGAGGTGGCTTGGCAGCGCAGAACAACACGTAAAGCGAGGTAGTCGCAACTCGTTTGGAGCTCTGTCAATCCCTCTCCGGTGTGATGGAAGAGTTCACAGGCGTTCGGTTTTTGGACCTACCATCCTAAGAACGCCTGAGGGACCCCAGAAAGAGCAACTTTTGCAAGCATGGCGTAAAACAAAGCATATCTTCTCATACGTCGCTGGCTGGCAAACTTTGCATTCAGTGGCCACTAGATGTCTTGGCTCCAGATTTAACTGTTAGCATTTAAATAAAACGATAGCAGTTAAATCTTCGCACAGAAGAGGTGAACGGAAAGGGGGGCTCCTTGCATTCGTTCCATTTGGCAGAAGGGCGTCTTGGCCTGAGCCGTAACGCGGCGCTCCCTTCCAGATCCCACTGGTTTCCTCTCCGCATGAGTGGCGTTGCGTATGTAGAGCATGAAACTGGCAATCCTGCACTATGTTCTCCATAAATATATAATTATACACATGGAGAGAGAGAGAGAGAAAGAGGAAAAACGAGAGCAGGGCTTTGTTGCTGGTAGTTAATCGCTCGTCCTGGAGCCGCTACAGGATGTGATTTAAATTTACAGAAAAGCTTTTCCTTTTCTCTCTCTTTTTTTGGAAAAAAAAATTAAGGCTGAATTATTCATTGGGGAGGACAAAATATCTGTTTAGCAGAGCAGGGAGTTTCAACTCCTTCTTTTCCTCTTTATCCTAGAGGTTGAATCTCGGGCCAGCGCCAAGTAGATCTGCGCAACTCCCCCCTTTTCAAGTTCTAAATTCTTGATTAAACGGGAAAACTTGCATAGTGCAGATCCAGTGCATGTATGATTGAGCATGTATCATTGAGCATAATGTATGCTACTTGTGCGTGAGAGGAGTCCTAGGATCGGGAGCTGTTTCAAGCAAATTGCAGGAGAAGTGAACACTGCGTCCAAGAGGCTAAAGCGTTTGAGGCTTTTTAGGAGAAAGACAGCTGTGGGTGGGTGGGGGTGCTATCAAAGTATGCACAGGATGGGAAGAGTGGGGGGAAAGGGGGTTCTCTCTCTTCCCCTGCTCAAGGAAGGGCTAGCATTTTTAGGAGTACAAGGTTGGGTCAGGGGTGAATCCCGCAATATCTCAGTGAGGATCAAACATGCAGAGCCACCCGAGAATGGTGAATTGGTGAATTAGAAAAGCCTGGGAGACCAAAGTGACCGAAGCGCTAAAATAAAGCTCCCTGCACTGCAAAAGTTTGTGGCAGACGTTACAGGAGCCCCGGAGGAGATGGGCTTTTGGGGCACTCTCGAGGCAAACTCTGGGCATTTTTTCCCAGAAGGCTCAGAAGTGTGGCGACCCCGGAGCCCTGGAGGGGAACCCCTGAAGACGCTGCTGGAGACACCGGAGCCCCTCCTGGCATCCCCCAAGCCCAGCCTTTTTTTGGGTTTTGGCATTCAAAATCTCAAGTTAGGATTGCCATCTGTGTTTCCTTCACGCAGGGCGACGCCAACAGGTCCGACACGGACGAGGACAAGACTTCGCTCAACTTTGAAGAGGAGCTGGAGAGGCTGAAGGAGTTGGCGTCTGGCAAGTGGGGTGGACGGTCCCTTTGGCGGGTGGCTCGTGCAGTGGTTGGGGAGGGGAAATAGTTGATTTATTGGCTAAAATCCTACGATATCTATCTATCTATCTATCTATCTATCTATCTATCTATCTATCTATCTATCTATCTATCTATCTATCTATCTATCTATCTATCTATCTATCTATCTATCTATCTATCTATCTATCTATCTGTTTATACTAACTAAAGCTTGATTTTATTAAAAAATGTTTACTTGGAAACTAATATTTTTTGAGCCAATTCAGTTGATTTGACTGGGGTGGGTCCACAGAGATGGTGTTTCCTGTTGTTAATTTAAGGGAATCATTCGTGCTTTTAAAAGAATGTTTGTCCAAATTGGAAACAAAAACATTTCCCCTCCTGGTAAATCGAAAACCATCCGGGAGCCTTCCAGAGAGTCCCTTGAAAAGTGGCGTCCAAAATCTGTTCTCCAGCACGTCTTGATACTCACCGGTCGGTCTTGGGCCGGTCCCTGTCTGATCTACCTCGCAAGGTTGTCATCGGGAGGGTAAAGCAGGGAGGAAGCGAGCCACTTCGGCTGCCTTGATCCCTCTGGAGGAAAGCCAAGGGTGTCGGTGTGAGTTTATAATGCGTTGCCAGCGCTCGGCGATTCTTCTCCTTAACAAGATGCTTTCTCTTTCAGAGATGAAGATGTATTCGCTTGCCATCACACCGAACGGTCACCTGGAGAGCAAGGCCAGCATGCTCCCGCCTATCATCATGCGCACTGCGGCCACACCTATGCCCACCCCGAAATGCTCCCCTCATATGGACTCGGCTTATCCTTTCGCAGACTCCAGGAGAGGAAGCAATGCTTCGGTCGACCCGCTGAGCTTGGTAATTTTTTAAAAATGAATCTCGGCCCCGCTTTGGTGCCATCCCCTTTGAGGTTGAGGGGCATTCGTGAAAAGGGTGGGGGGGGTGAAGGAAGGACGCCCTTCCTCTGCCGGGAAAGGCTGGAGCATTTCGTCCTGGGAGGGGAGGCGGCTTAAAAGAAAGGGTTCTTAAGCAGAATGTGTTGGAAGCGCACACGCCGTGCAGAGAGCAGATGATAGGCTACGTGCAACCAGAAGCAGTCGGAGTTTCATTTCCGGTTTTGTAAAATCTTTTTGGGGGACACTGCGGTGAGAGCGGGTGACACCGGTTCTGCAGAAGGACGTGGACTCCGTTGTGGGTTTTCCTCCGAACTTTATGGGACCTGTTGAAGGCGCTGAAGGCTGTCCCTATAGCAAGTGAAGCCACTTGGAGAGCTCCTTTAAAGTTCAGAATAAAACCCAGAGCAGGTTCACCCCCACCCATACGTACAGAGTCACACACAGCGGGCAAAATCCGACTCCCACTGGAGGGCCGGTTGATCAACGAAAGAGTGGGGGAGGCTGCCCCCCCTTGTATTACAGGATAATGAAATCAAATAAAACCTAGAGAATTAAATTCTCCTTATAACGGTCTTCTCAAGAGTTGCCATCTTATTGGCCTGGGAAATTCAGCCGTAAGGTGGCGTGGCTGCATGATTTCCACCCCAAGCAAAAAGCTACTGGCTCTTACCCGCCTTTTCCCTCTCCCAGTCCAGCCCCCGCAGTTCCCCCGGCACCCACTGGGGCGGCGGCGGCGGCAGCAACTGGGGCAGCCGGCGCTCCAGCTGGAACAGCCTGGGCCGGGCCCCGAGCCTCAAGAAGAAGACCCAGTGCGGGGAGCGGGAGTCCTTACTCTCCGGGGAAGGCAAAGGCAGCACCGATGACGAGGCGGAGGAGGCCAAGCTCAGCGCCGTCAGCCGGCCCCCTCCCCACCACCGCGCCGAGCCTCTGGATTACCGGGGGGCCGTGGAGCTGCCCGAGCTCCTCCAGGTCCCGGGCATTCACCCTTCCCTGAGCCTCAGCCCCCTGCGGCCCACCGAGTACCCGGACTGCAACGGCAAAATGCTCCACGTCCCCAACGAGTTCTACTTGCACATGGATGGTCACAAGGAGGACCTTCTGGATCTGGAGGAGGAGGAGGACGTAAGTCTTGAACCCAGGGCGATGGGAGGAGGGGACCCTCCTGGCTGCCTCCCTGGCCCTAGGTTTTCAGGAGGAGTAGCCCCCCCCCTTCTAGCCGTAGTCCAAGCTCCGGTGGGCAATGGTGATGGGGAACGATAAGAAGGTTGGGAGGAAGACACCATGGAGGAACCTGGGGCTGGCCAATGCAGCCTTATCACGTATCCAGCCTTGGGTCCCTCTCACCCAGTAGCCCCAGCTCTGACGGGGGGGGGCAGGAATGGTTCTCCAGGGTTCCTCTGCCCACAATCCTTTCCCAGCCCAATCTGGAGATTCTCCTGTTCATATCCTAACCAAGCTCAGCCCTGCTTAGATTCCAGCACAGATCAGCTTTGTTCAGGATGAGAGCATCCTCACAGCTGTCCTGAGTTACCAGTGATAGGCCAGCCTTGGAGAAGTCCCTTCTCTGGATCAATGAAAATGGAAAGATCACTACAGAGATTTCTTTTTTGTCTGCAGAGAAAGGGGGAGACTATTAAGTGGACACCCCAATAACTTCATGTCCCACTGAATCTCGGGCACGCAGGTCCGTCTGCTTACAAGAACAAAGTTCACTTCCATTTCACCAAGTTCCTATAAGTTCCTCCTCCTTCTTCCCCAGCCTAAAGATTTGGAACAATTTACCGGACCTCAAGAACCGTTCCAGATCATTCAGAAGCCAACCTGGTTCATAACTCTTTAGGGACTCTCTAAAAAGCCTTCTTCAATTTGGGGTTGTGTTTCCACACATGAACCCAAGCACTCCGTTTGATCTTTTTGGTTTCATGAATTTTTCCTTTTGGGGGTTTGTAGTTCCGAGAGAAGAACTTTCTCAAGCCCTTAAGATGGTCTGTTTTGGGGGGCCCATCCCTCTTAAATCACCCACCAAGTACACACCGCCTGGCGTTTCACACAAACCAAATGCCAAGGTTCTCTTTGAACCAAGGCAGGATGTTCATTCATTTTTTGGTTATGCAAGAATGTAGGAATATAAGGAACTGCCTCGAAACCAAATTTTGGGCCAAGCTGTAACCATGGGCGGGAGACCAGGGGTCTTGGAAGCCCATGCCGGTTTTAACCAGTGCAGCATTGGAGGTATTTTGTGAGTGTGTGTGTGTGCATATATCCATACCTTAAAGGAATTATAGAATAAGAATTATCCTTTCTGTTCCAGAGTTACTGCTACAGGATCCGGAAGGCCTTTGAACCCTACAAGCCAACATGGTGCAAGACCCACGAGAACTGGTCCCTCTACCTGTTTTCACCCCAGAATCGGTAAATAGAAAAGCACTGAGCTTCTCTTTTTCTCTTTTTCTTTTTACCATCGCATTTTTCAGTTTGGTGGCCGGTGGTGCGCTGACCTTGTGTATGGAGGACACCTCCCAGCAAAACAGGCACATATCCTTGAAAACACCAAGCTAGGGCTGAGCCAAAGCGTTGGGCATAGGGGCGGGAGCCTCTGGGCACTGGGGGGAGTCTTAAAGAATGGAGAGGCCTTCTCCAGGTCTCCAGAAAAGGAAACAAAGCTTATGGCCAGGAGGAAGAGGAGATTTGGAGGGGGCCTTTAAGGCTGGGTGGCGTCTCGGGACATGGCTGTACAGAGGGGAGACAGATCTTACAGTTAGCAGAACTGGAGGAAGAGAGAGCCTGGTTTTTCTCCAAGAGAGAACTTTAAACTTGGGACTCCTTCTGCTCCCATTCTTAGATGGCGCGTTTTTAGACCTTCTTCCATGTTTGCATGGTTTTGCCTGCCCCCCAACACAGGGACCCCTCAGACTGGCAACACCAGGGCCTTCCCTGGGATGTCAGAGGATCCGGTCCATGGCCTCAGGGTTTGGTCTGGAAACCTCAAGGAACAGGATGAAGCTGAGCTGGCAACCCTTTTTCACCTGTGGAGAAGCTGGACCAAGAGTTGTGGCCGGATTTGGCACTATCATTGGGAGAGGGTGATAACTGAAAAGATTCCTGGTCTTGTAGAGGCCCTATGTTGCCTGATTTTTGCTTCTGCCAATTCCACTCCATCATCCCTTGGAGAACCATCTTTATCTGTTCCTGATGCACAAGGTGTTTCCTTTGGACACCTGCTTAGAGAGAGAACAATCCTCCATAAAATGAGGCACAGAGAATCAGCCTAACACAGCCATAAAATTGTAGAGTTGGGCGGGCTACCTGAGGTCACCTGGGGTCACCTGTGGGCATCCCGGTATCCGTTGTGTCTTGCCTTCAAGGTTCCGGGCCAGCTGCCAGAAGGTCATCGCACACAAGATGTTTGACCACGTGGTCCTTGTCTTCATCTTCCTCAACTGCATCACTATCGCCCTAGAAAGACCGGACATTGACCCCCACAGCACGGTGAGCTTTCTCTCATTCCCAGACTCCTTCGTTATAGGGGAAGACGGTCAAGACCGCTGGGTAGCTCGGGAGTTTAGGTCTCCAGCTGCAGAGCCAGAGGTTTGGAAGTTCAATTCACCCACTGGGCTTCCTTGACACATAAGCGGGACTCAATGATCCAGAGGGTCCTTTCCAGAGGAGTTTAGGTCTCCAGCTGCAGAACCAGAGGGTCCTTTCCAGCTCTGTAGTTCTAAGATGATGGTGGTGGTGGTGGTGGTGGTGGTGGAGGAGGAGGAAGACCTGATCTGATGGCCACTTTGCCTGCAGGCCTGCTCGCTTTAAGCCAAGAATGGGAAACCTCTTTCAGCATTTGTAAGATAAAATAGAAAGGGATTTTTTTTAAAAAAAAAAACGGATAAAATAGAAAGGGATTTTTTTTAAAGAAAACAAAACTTGGGGCTTAAAATGATGCCCGTCTCAAGGGAAGGTCTATCTGTGTGCCTTGGGGACTCCAGGAGAGTCAGGGTTCAGCCCCACAATTCATCCCTAAAGTCTGACAGTTCCCTACCCTTGCTTAAAGCCAATCTGGAAAGACTTTATTTTCGTCCGGTGTCCTCTGACCTTGCCAATAGGCTGGACCGCAAATCGCACCATCCCCGGACAAGGTGGCTGAGCGGCAGCCACGCAAAACAGATTTAAATGTGGACTAAAGCACACATTCCTGCCGTGTGCTTTTCCCAGAAGGACAAATGTTGAGTTAGTGCAGGAAGTGATGGAACATGAGAGCATTTAAAATGGCAAGAGAGAATATCAGGAGGCAGAACGCACAGGGTGGCCGGACTCCTACAGAGAGCAAGTTGGCCCCGTCAAGGCCCAGCTGTAAAGGTGATGGTTTCGGTGGACATGGATGCTTGCCAATTGGATTCCAACTCTCTGCTCATGGGAGAGATAACAAATTCATGCAGATTTCCCCAGGCCTCCAACGATAACATGTTGAGACACCCCCTTGAGAAAACGGGACAATGGCTGCAGGGCTTCTTGGTCCTGAGCAGCCGCTTTTAAGAACCCAACAGCAATTGTCTTTTGTCTGTAGCAATATTGGCCGGATGTCAATAAATCAATCAATAGATCTCTGTTGGTTTTGCACAGAAAGCTTGCATGGCATGTTAAAGAGCTTGTCATTTTACATTGCATGTAAGGGGGGGGTTTGTTTGTTTCTCAGCAAAATACAGGGGCTTTGGGGCAAAACACAAGTTTCTTTGCTCAAAAAAAAGCCACATCTATTTATTTATTTTTCATTTGAAATGCAAACACACACACAGACACACAGTCTCGAAATCCCTCATGTAGAATGAAGAAACTATTTGCATTTTAATTTTGCTCTTGTTTTTTGCCTATAAGCCAATATAAGCAGAGATTTATAGCCCCATAGCTGACACCGTCCTGCCTTTTCCCCCTCCTTTTTGTTCCCTCTCCAGGAGCGGGTGTTTTTAAGTGTGTCCAACTACATCTTCACAGCCATCTTTGTTGCTGAGATGATGGTTAAGGTAAGGCTGTTCCGGAGGGCAGGTTAAGAATAATCAGGAAAGCCGAGTTCCCCTCTCCACCTTTGCTAAGCACAGAATAGGAAAATAAACAAAGATTCTGGACTGTAGCTGATCATGTTAACTGGGAAGAGGAGGAGGATCCCATCAGTTTAATATTCTAAACTTGTGAGACAGATGATTAATATATTTGACCAGCTTTTGTGCCAGCTTTCTACACATAACAGAAGTCTTGATTCTGCTGTTCTGTGGCTGGGTTGGGTTGGGTTGAAATAAGTTGGGTTGAGTTGAAATAAGTTGGGTTGGGTTGAGTAAAGTTGGGTTGGGTTGGGTCTAGAGTATGTTCAAAAACAAACCAATTATGTCTACAATGACATAGTGTTCAAAAACAAACCAATTATGTCTACAATGACATAGTCCAGAATTCTAACCACCTCTGTTTGCCACCTCGTTCTTTATAATGGGTAGTTTGGCCCAAAGTAATTGTACATGGGTGGGTTTTATCTTCACAAAGCCGCCTTCCTCCCTCCCTCTCTTTCTCTCTCTTATTAAAGGTTGTAGCTCTTGGCTTCTTCTCTGGGGAGAACACCTATCTCCAGAGCAGTTGGAACGTCCTGGATGGAGTCCTGGTCTTTGTGTCGATCATCGACATCATCGTCTCCATGGCGTCGGCAGGCGGGGCCAAAATCCTGGGAGTCCTCCGCGTCCTTCGGCTGCTGCGCACTTTGCGGCCATTGCGGTACTTTTGATCTTCCATGAAATTTGGGTAGAAAAGAGGCAGTCCCTGTCCACCTCTGGACCTGTGGCAGGGAGAAATACATGACCCCGCCCTTGGAAAAGCACCTGGCATTGCCTTGAGGGATGGGGTTTGGAATATTTATCCCCCAAACTATTACACTCCAGTAATCCCAGATTTTGGGGGAGAAATTCCCCATCTCCCACGGCTGGCTGCTTTCCCAAGCTCCCTTTCTCATCCACATTTGTGTGCTATCTTTGGCATAACTCTCTAATCCCCACGCTCAGAGGGAAATGGGTGCGACAAGCGGTATCTAGGGGTTGTCGCCCAAAGACACAACACAGCACACACCTCCCCTTCACAACCTTAAATGGGGAACAGGCTGATGATACAGACCTTAGACGGCAGCCCTAAGAACAGGACGGCACAGCAGCCCATCCGAGAGCGCTGCAGTTAACACCGCTCGAGCGTAGGACGGAACTCCAGGCTGGCGCGGTTCCTCTGTGTGTTGCTGAAGTTTTTGGGTTTTTCCGACAACTCAGCCCAGGAGTTTCTTGTGATCTGGAGAAGCCAACGCACTTCCTCTCTTGTTTATCTTTTTAAACAGAAGAAGCGTGAATATCAAACATTTGTATCCCGCTGCCCTCCGGGGCCCTCAAGGGCTCGTACACTGGTGGTTCGCAGCTTGTCAACGCACCTCTTTTTTGCTTCTCGTTGCATCCGCGCGCCTGACCGGAAAGCTAAACTCTCCCTCTCCTCGCACATACGATTAACCTTCCCTTCGCAAGTAGAAAAGGTTGAGCTTGTTCATAGTGCGGAACATGATCCTTCTCGGAGCCTGAGCGAAATAAATGCTGTCTCACGTTGCTGTGTCTTTTACCAAGCAGGCTGATGATGCCTGTCATGCAGAGGACCTACGAAACTGCAAAACCTTTACTGTAACTCCAGGCACCATCTGCATGGCGGATGTGTGTGAATGTGCTGAGGAGATGGGATTTAGGGGCTCTTGGGACCCCACGAGATGCCTCCAGGCTGCCTCTCCTTACCCCACTCTTGGTTTTAGGAGAAACCCCCTGTTTCTTTGACTGTTTCTGTCTGCCCCATAAAGCCCCAATCGGGGTTTCTTCTGCCTGTGTGTTTGTTCATCACTCCAGTTTTAATTACCTTAACCCTTTTCCCCACGTGGTGCTCAGGTAAATTGATTTTTAAAAAATGACCAAAAGGGTGAGAGAGAGAAAAAAAGAAAAGCAGGCAGAGCTAGGGGAGAAAAACCCCACAAAACTCAGCCAGGATGTCCCTCTTCACACGCAGAGTCATCAGCAGAGCCCCCGGTCTGAAGCTGGTGGTGGAGACGCTGATCTCGTCTCTCCGGCCCATCGGCAACATCGTCCTCATCTGCTGCGCTTTCTTCATCATCTTTGGGATTCTGGGCGTCCAGGTATGTGCTCGGCTTTTGATAAGAGAGTCCCACCCACCCCCTTGATTTCCCCTCTGCTCTTCCCACTCTTGGGTCACCCAGATGTTCTTGGACCGCAGCTCCCAGAAATCCTGGCCAGTCCAGCTGGGGGTGAAGGTTTCTGGGAGTTGCAGTCCGAGAACATCCGGGGAAACAAGGTTGAGAAGGCTTGCTTTCGCTCTTGATTTCCCCCAGGTGTTTTTGGCCCCGGAGGGACCCATTTGAGGTGGGGAGGGTCACACATATACAAACACCGGGGGGGCGGGGGAGAAAGAAGCTCAGGTTCACTGGGCCAGGAGGAGACGTGGGGTGCATGGAATCTACTTTGGGGTCCCAGAGGGAAAGGGAGAAGCCAAACCATGTCTCACCTAGATCGGTGTGGCTCTCATGTCTGGCCTTAATGACAAGGGGATTTAGGGATGGAGGCGAGGATGGGGGGCTTCACAGGAGACCCCCGAGGGCCCCATCTGGCCTGCTAGCCATGGCTTCTGCCCCCTTGCCTCCGGGTGAATGAAGCCATCGGCCACGATGGCCTGCTTTTCTCTTACAAGCAGCCAGTTTCTCCCGGCTGCGGATTGCTCAGGCTGATCTTTCAGGGTCGCGGCATCGTTGCCTGGGGTGAGCGTATGTTGTTACAAAAATGTAAAAGTTAGAAGGGATCCCCAAAGGTCATCTAAACCACCCCCACCCATACAGGAAATCCACAACTTGCGCAGAAAACCCACAGCTTCCACGGACAAACACCAGTTTAATACTACCACTATTAGATGGGGCGGAAAGGAAGGCCGTCCCTTCCTTATTCTAGAGCCACTCTTCCCTGTGAGCAAGGACCTCCTGGGGGGGTTACACTCCCCAAAAAAGGAACTTTTCTGAACGTCAAGTCCAGAGTCTGGTCCTCTCGCCCGCTCTTCCTTTCATCCTCTGGCTAGCTGTGATCTTTCTTGTTGCTGCTGTTCCTCCTTCGCACCCCCCCGGCTCTTAGGATCAGCAGGTATCCTGAATGGACTGATTTATTCTATGCACTCCTTCTTCTCCCCCCCCCCAGCTGTTCAAAGGCAAGTTCTACCACTGCGAGGGGCCCGACATCCGGAACGTCTCCACCAAGGCCGACTGCACAAACGCCCGCTACAAATGGGTCCGGCGGAAATACAATTTTGACAACCTGGGGCAGGTGAGTCGCACAGAACCGAGGGGCACCGT